TGGTGCTAGGCTGCCAGAGCGGGAGCGGCGGCGACGGAACGAATCACCTCTGTTCACTATACCTGTAAGAGAGACAAAAGATTTAGGAAACAGAGTAAAATTTCCTTACAACAGATAATGTGCAACAGATGTCGCTACTGGTCTAGTCTGGTTTGATCTGGTCTGGATGTCTGTCATTTTGTACAGAAGTCTCGGTGGAGCCAGTGCTAATAGGACACTCTGTACGAAAAAATTAACTCAGATGTTTTTGGAGAATCACAAATAAATATGGACGATGAAATGTATTTGAATTTTCACATGCTTCTTTACATTGAAAATAAATCAGTTAAAAATTTATAAATTTCAAAGTGGTGCAATTTCTTCGCAAACTTTTAAAAGGGCTCAGGTGTTTTCTGTTAAATTGGAGCATCTCTAAGCTTTAGTATTCGCAAACTGACTATACCCCTTAAAGGACGCTCTTTTCTGACGATGATAATGCCAGTACTAAATTTAACAACCTTAGAACCTTTTTACGCTAATCTATTACAACTATGTTTTCAATTTTAATAACATTATTATTTTCTAAGTTAAGGATATCATATATTTCAAGGATAAGCTCTACAAATAACTTAAGAAATACATCATACAAAATCGTAATAATTAAACAAAGTCGTTCGCGTAATCAATCATTTGGCGCACAGTCCGGTCCGCTATGATGTCAGATTTATAGCTGTTGGTACCATTCCGTCTTGTGACGTCAATGTAAGCAACGTGAAAGGCGACCTGCATACGATACCGAAATTACAAATACTGTAACTATATTAAAACCTGAAGAACATTTGTAACCTTTTCTAAGGAGCACGAGCGAATGATCACGAAAAACAATTGCATAACGCTATTTAAAACAAAAAAACACTTTGATAATAATAAGATAGTCGAACTTGGTTCAATTGTGACTACTAATATTAGTAAACAAATGACGTCAGTAGAACGTCATTTTAGTAGTAAAGTTTTATTCGTAGGATATCATCATCATCACTCCATCCTTATTTTACTCCTATGATCAGAGTTTTCGTCATCTCAGTCGTCACTTCTTGAACACCTATCACGCAATACGTCCATCTCTGTCTATGCCTACCTCTACCGGTGGACTTCTTCATAACTAAAGTTCTATTTGTTACATGTTTTTAATATAATGTCCATACATCGCTAACGTTTTACTCCTCAATATCACTGCCACTGGGCCCCTTTCAGACTTACAGATAAAGTATAATTACTATGGGTGGTAATATTAGAATATATTGTGTGGATTTGTTAATTCAAAACATAATTTAGAGTTGCAAAAGAACCGCCATAACTATAATCTGCTACCACTACTTTTTAGATTAACTGCGAACTGCGATATCTTGGTTAGGTCGCAGAAGGGCATCTATAATGTAATTTTGTGACTTTAAATGTTTTATATGAATGTCATCATCATCATCATCTTTCTTCTTACCCTACTCCCGTAGGGTTGGCGCAACAGGTTTCTGTCCTCCACATAACTCTATCATACGTCATCTCAGTCATCACTTCCTTTTTGATCATGTCACCTTTTACGCAATCCATCCATCTCTTTCTAGGTCTACCTTTACCGATGTACCCTTCCACACTTATAACTAACGTTCTCCTCATAACATGCCCATACCAAGCTAACCTTACCTTCACCACTATTGGGGCTACTGCCAAACTTCCTTAAAATGTATTTATTGTGTTACATAAATGTATAGAAAGTAAAATATCGGCGGCTGGGCCAACTGCAAGTTGGTTACGAATTTAGCCGAAGGAACGTAAACAGTAAGGGCCGGCTAAAACAAGCCGCGGTTGTGCACAGTAAACATCCGATTGACGTCAGTGCGTCAAGTGCAGAATGGAGTAATGAACGAAAGTGACTCGTGAATCATATAAATTGTATGTTGTAGGGAAGCGACAAATGCGACGCGGTGTAAAGCGATGCGACACGAAGTTATATGTTGTACTAGTTTTCGCCCGCGACTCCGTCCTTGTGGAATTAAAATAAAAGAAAAGTGAGTAGCCTATGTGTTCTTCGAGACTATCCTCTACATCTATACCAAATTTCATCCAACTTTCGCGTTAATAATAAATAAATAAAACATCTTTATTTTCATCATAAAAGTTATATAATATTCGTGTGTTGGTTATAACGTGGACCACAAAAGTACATTCTGGAAATTATTGTTCAGCTAATTGTTTAAACCAATGAATATAATATTGACAACTATTATACTCTTTTCGAAAAGCATACAGATATTTCTAGCTGTATCTTTAAATCCATCAAGATATTTTCTTTGAAGATAAAATGATATAACGGAAAACTCACAGAATTATACATCCGCTTACGTCTGTTAGCAACAAAACGTGCTTTTCTGCAACAAATGATATTGAAAGATTCGTTTCCTGTTCAACCGGAAAATGGAAACGTCAATGTTATTATGTTTTGTTATAATAAAAGCTTGTAACATTGATATAAATAAAATATGTATTCGGCAAACATCTTGTTTATATGATTCTGTAAAAAAATCTATACTATTATAATAAAGCGTAAACACAATTTTTTTTTGTTGCCTAAGATGTCAGCAATTACAGCATATTTTTTAATAATTCCTTTTTTAATAAAAAGCCCTACACTTGCGTCACGCTTTCGGCTATATATTTTCACGCCACTAAACTTAGAGGGTAAATATTTTGGATAAAAACCCTAATGTGGGAAAGAGATCATAATTTGCTGCCAACATCAAGGAAACAAGATTGCAAAGGTTTGTCATGTCATGTCAGTTTGACATTTGCTATTGATAATTTGACAAATGTAAACAATAAAAACACTTGACTTGTAATCTACAGGTCTTGGGTTCGAATCCCGCCATGTACCAATGTGATTTTAGATTTTTCGAATTTTCATATGTACATAA